TTCAAAGAGAAGAAAAATTATCTAAGTCAGAAATGTGGAACTACATGAAGGAATAGTATCAAAGAAATAATAAGTGAAGGTAAACCATAACTTCCTATTCTTAACTGATCTAACGAATAACAATTTGCTTTAAAAAATGCCAAGAATGCATTCTAATATGAATTCTCATATATGCATGAGATTAATAAGAACAATGATACAGGGGACAGGAAGGAAGAATTAGGATGACTCTTATAAAGTACTTGCACTGACTACGCAGTAGCAGAGTATTAATAGAAAGTAGACTTGGATTAGTTGTAAATATATATTACAAATGGTAGGACATCCACTAAAAAAGGTTAAAAAAAGAAAGTATAATTGATATGCTAAAAAAAGAGAGAAAACAATCATATAAAATGCAGCTTTATTCATAACAGCTAAAACTTGGAAGCAACCCAGATACCCTTAACTACATAAATGGATAAATAAACTGCAGTATATCTAGATTTACGTAGAAGTGTTAGTCACCGAAAAGAAATGAGCTATCAGACCATAAAAAGACATGGAAGGAACCTTAAACATTTATTTCTAAGTGAGAGAAGTCAATCTTAAAAGTCTACATACTGTATGATTCTAAGTATGAAACAGTCTGAAAAAGGCAACTTATGAGGCAGGAAAAAGATTGGTCATGTCTAGGGCTTGGGGGGAGGGAGAAATGAACAAGCAGAACACTGATTTTTAGAGGAATAAAATTATTCTACACGACACTAGTTATATATCACTCCTCTTTTGTCAAAGCCCATAGAATGTACAACACCAAGCGTGAACCCTAATATAAACTATTGACTTGGATGTTAATGATATGTCAATACAGGTTCATCAACTGTAACAAATGTATCACTCTGGCGAGAGATGCCTGTAGTCGGGGAGGCTGTGTGTGTGTAGAGATGGGAATATGCAAATTCTGTACTTTCTACTTTATTTTTCTGCGATCTTAAAATCTCTTTAAAAAATAAAGTTTATTAACATAAAAAGTATATATGAGTGAGTATTCACTTAGAAATCATGCTGTCATTCTTGTCCCTGTCCAGCCCATTTTCCATATACCCTGGTCTCTTTAGGCCACCATTTTTATTAGTTCCTATGTATTCCTGAAAGTTTTCTTTTACGAAGTGTAAGCAAATTTAGAAATACACACTTATATTCCTACATTCGTAACACAGAATTAAGTAACTTCTAGCATGCACACACACACAAAAGCTTATGGGAAATATTGCCCAAAGAAAGAAACGAAGCAAAGATCAGAAATGATAATTAAAGAAGATTAACAAATATTTTCAATAAACCTAAACAGATAAATATATTAAAACTTATACAACTGAAGGATGAAACTATTTTATTTACACTTTTAATGCCTCAAGTTTCTAATTCAAAAGTGGCTTCCCTAATTTAAATGACATTGTTTTCATATTTTCAAAGCACTTGCATATACACATTTTATCTAATCTTCCCAATATCTTGGCAAACCAAGCAGAGTAAAATTATAATCCTCCTTTTACAGATGAAGAACCTGATAGGTGGTAGAACTACATCTTCTGATTACTAGTCCAATGCTTTTTCACTCTACAATGTCATTTAAAAACATTTTACTTTACTGGGTCAGTTTGTAAACCAAATTCACAACTATTCAAATCAATCTCTTTTATTCATATGTCCATATCACCATTCATATATTTCATCTTATACTCAACATTTCCCTTGAAAATATTTAATAAAATGCTTTACACCGTTTAGTAAAAATATATTCCTTGAAACTCAAAGTAAGTTACAAATGTTATTTACTAAAATATGTCAATACACTGAAGCTTGGAAGCCCTGCACATATGACATGATTATTCCTATCATTGGCTACTTTCCATTACTCATTTAGCTCTTGATAAATATTTCAGCAAAATATTCATGTGAAAGTTTCTGTGCTGGTAGAAGACCAATAATTTATTTTCACAAGTTTAGAAATAAGTTTGTTTTTCCTTTTTTATACACATTCTGTCTCACCATTCCCTTTTTGTACTGTCTAATTCCCTATATCTCAATTATAAAGCATTATGAAATAATTGGACACATTTCACAAAACTCTATAGCATGTAGTCTACCACAAAATAACACACCACTTGAAACACTTCATTGCCTAAAATTAATAGCTTATTAGATACCAAGACATAGTATAAAATCTACAGCACGGCATTCAAGAGTTCCACAATAATCTGTCTTTACAAATTAATCTGCTAGCCTCAACACGAACTCTTCTCTAGCCAAGCTTTAAATTTTCCTAAACTGCCATTTACTTGCCTATGTGTTTTTCTCCTACCATTCGTCTTGAGAATGCTTTCCTCTCCGCCTACATATAGCCTTCTCAACCTTCAAAGCCCCACCATTAAAGGCTTCTCTTAGGAAAAACACGAAGTTATGCAAAGAGCACACATTCTACAGTCAGTTTGACTTAGATTTTAATCTAGGATATGCAACTTACTGACTCATGTCTGTGAAGATGGATTTCTTCACCTATAAAATGAAGCAATATTCATTCTAGATGACATCTAAATCATATTGTAAGAATACAAGTGAAGTTCACAGCACAAAATAAGAGTTAAATAACCATTTAAATGGATCAATAGAACTAAAGTTATTACTAATTTCTCTAAACTCAATGAGCTGTGTAACTCATTTAGTTATCCACAGCCTGGATTAAATCCATCTTTTATAATCTGGCCTCTAATTATTATTTAACTTATGTTATTCTAATTTTTATTTCTAACTTGTGTTTTGTGTCCTCAAACAGACTGCAAACTTCTTCCAAATCTGGACTATATGCTATACTTAAATACTTACAATTCCACTTAGGTTAGCACAGTGCTATATATGAAAGAGAACTTAATAAATATTTCCCCAGTAAAGCATTTGCTGAAAATAGTCTATCCAGAAAATAAGAATTACATTTTAAGCAGTGTATTAACACATTGGAGCATCCACTAAAGAGTAAAGGCAGAGGCAAGGAGGGATGAAGAAGAGGTGTAGAAGTGGGCAGAGGATGTATATATGTATGAAAAAGAGACGAAGAGAGTGTATGCAAATTCTGATAATAGAAAAACTACAGATATCTAACCTAAAGAAAACTTCAGAATGCAAGATAACTGGAAGATAAATAAGATTATTATACATGACACTGAAGACAAAACTAGTATATTACGAGAAAAAATTTAGCTTAACATAAAGTAAAATTCTATCATATTAGAGTTGCCCCAAAATAAATAGGATTTATTTTAAAGTACTTTGTAAAATCAGAGATACTTAAGCAGAGCTCAGAATTGAAATGGTTTTCAATCTATACGACAATATCAGAAAGACAGTTGTTACCTACAATGCCGTGTTGAAAAAAATTGTTAAAGACAGCAGATCCAGAGTAGGAAAGAGTGTTGTGATCAGTTAAGAATATCTATCAGAAGCCTGGCAGAATAGAGGATATCTCAAATAACTCAAATTTACTATCCTCAGTTCAGAGAAATAATTTTCAAAATTAAGTATTTCTTGTCAAGAATTCAGCTAGGAACTGGGTAAAGTTTCTTTAAATTCTACAAGCCTAAGACCCTATGTTTAGTAACTAACATCCTTTAAGAATTCAATGAAATGACTTTTTAAAATATTTTTAAATGATAGTGCTCAGCTAGGATTTTGGGTTACTGTCTGAACAACAAAAAAGTACATCGGTTTCTCAAAATATAATTCACTGTTAGACCACAATGCCATCTTAAAAACAGCACTGTGCTTTCCAATTTGCAAAGCATTTTCATGTTTTTATTTTCAATAAAATTTGTGACTATCAGATATCAAAATAGAAATGTACATGAATAGGCAAGAGCCAAACTGAGATCTAATACAATACTATTTTTTAATTAAAGTATTCTTCCTTTAATAATGTCCTAGAACTTTATTACTAATTAACTGAAACACCATAAGACAACCACATCTTAAACACTGAGCCATAAACATTCACTTCTTCTCAAGAGGTCACTCCACTACCCAGAACTTAAACAGTCACTGCTGTCTTTCAGCAGTAGTTCTTAATGTGTGGTCACTAGACCAGCAGCAGCAGTAGCATCACCACCTAGGAACATGTTAGAGATGTCAATTTCAGAGTCCCATCCAACCTACTGAAAAAGAAATAATAGAGCTGGCACAACAATCTGGATTTTAACAAGTCTTCCCCATGATTCTGTTGCATACTAAAGTTTAAAAATCACTCTTAGAAAACAGTTTAGTTTCTTTATGTGAGTATCCCTTTACCTACGTCTCCACAGCTTCTTTCTCACATTTTGGACGATCCAAAAATGCTTCTCATCTGAATGATTAATTCACCAGTAACTTTGTGCTGATTTCCTACTTTCTTTCCTTTTCAAATATGATGCTACCTTTTAAATCATCCAAAATATTTTTAATTATTTCATAAAATACACATTAATAATTTACAAAGAAGAAATGAACATCAAAATTATCACTTTCCTACAAAAACATTATTTTTTGATAATTTTACAATCCTTGAAAGTATTTTCTTGAGAAACATAAAATATATAAATCTCATTTAGCAAATGAATCTATGATTGGTGGCCTAAAATTCTGACTAATATCAATATATAAGATTCAACTATAAGGAAATCATACAATGCATACTCCTTTAGAACTGAAATTTAAATGAGAGTTTAGAAGTATTCTGTAGAAATGCTCAAGTGAGGAACTTTTAGATACTATCATGTACATGTATGTATAAGCAGGCACTTCAGTTCTGCAATGCTGACAAATAATGACAATAACAAAAGGCCAAACAATAAAGAACATCTCAAAATAAATTATTTTGGCTGATGAGAAATGTATCTAAGATCATGATTAATAAATTTTACAAAAACAGACCTCTATTTCTTTATATTATATGATAACTCACAGTCAGGTACAATGAAAGACTTTCTTACCTGTGAACATAATGTAATTGATGAACTGAGTCAATTGCTATCACCATTTCAGCCAAGTAAAATCGAGCCATATCTTCAGGCAATCTATCTTCAAATTTGCTGAGTAGAGTAAGCAAATCCCCACCAACATAATAATCCATAACCAGGTACTGTAAATGAAAAAATAAAAATGTACTCAATAAATAATAATGGTGAAAAATTAGTATGAAGTATTCCAAGGTTAAATATAGTTATTAACAAAAGGTTATGTAAGATGATCATCAGATGTCATTAAAAGCCCTCTAAATTTCACCAGGTGCAGTAATCCCTTGCAATCTCACGCTTGTAATCCCAGCACTTTGGGAGGCTGAGGTGAGAGGACTGCCTGAGCCCAAGGGTTTGAGACCAGCCTGCAACAAGGTGAGACCTCGTTTCTGCAATAAATAAATAAATAATTAGCAAGTGTGGTGGCATACGCCTGTAGCTCCAGCTACTTGGAAGGCTGAGATGGAAGGACTGCCTGAACCAGCAAGTCGAGGCTGCAGTGGCCATGAGTGTGCCAATGCATTAGCCTGGGTGGCTGAGACTCCAATTCAAAAGAAAAAAAAAAAAGACCTCTAAATTTCATACAGCAGTAAACTTTTTTAAAAACTAGGATGAGAACAACACAGAATTACCATTTTTTTGTTGTATTTTGCAAAGTAACAATATCATCACCTACAACAATATCAACATTTCAGAGAAGAATTAACGTTTTAATCCCCCAAAAAACAAACAAGAAAGAAAAAATTTTAAATACAGGATGGTCTTTACATTGAAAAAATTCCTCCTCATCTTCATCATCATTACATTTTCCTTATTTCACCTTGTACCAGTAAGAACTTTATTACAACCAGCACTGGTTTATGGATCAGCCCCTTGGAAACCACTGTTACACAGAACATAATAATTCTCACCATATACTTTTCTTTTCTCATTTCTCATAGTATACAAATATCAGAATGAACTTTTGTCAGGTGTATGTAAACATAAGCCAACTAATTTTAGATATGGACCCTTATGGGTATGTGTACACGTGTGTGCCAAAAAAGAAAACATAAGAAGTAGACACCAAACGGTTCACCAGAATTCTCTAGGTTGTTAGATTACAGATAATGTTACAGCTTTTTACATTCTACATTGCTTTATAACATGTATTACATATCCACGTGCATTTCTGTGTATAGTACAGAGTAGCGGAAGATGAAGGATAAAAGACAGGCTTTGTAGTCAAAGAATCTTATGATCAAACCCTGACTCCATTTGTAAGTGGATTTTCAAGAATTCATCTCTTCGATATTTGACTTTCTAATCTACCTAACTACAATAATGATACCTTCCTCGTAGTATGAAAGCTAATAACTATAAGATACTTAAATGTCAATAATAATGAATTGAATTAAGGTAACTTTATTACAGAATGGAGGTTTTACTTCAAAAATATCACTGAGTTGACATTAAGATTTCTTATAGACAGGGTCTGGTGTCTACAATACTAGTTAAATAACCTACTCTTCCCCTAATTCAACTGAAACATCCTCTCTGAAACATATTTTCTGATCCCAAATACACTCCTATCTGTTCCTGGGCACTCTATTCTGCTATGGTTGCCTATTTGTATATCATTATCACATTGTTCTCATCAATTTTAGAGTAAAACTTAATATCTAGTAGGACAAGTTTCTACTCATAAACTACTCTTAAAATATTAGCCAACAGACTTAAGTTGTCTTTAAACAAGTTTTAAAAAAAAAACCAGACTGACATACGATACTCATAAGATAGGCCAAGGTGATGATAATCCTAAAATAAAGAGCTCCTTTCAGTTGTTAAGAGGAGAGGAAGCAACCCAACAAAACTGGGCTAAGGATATAAACAGACAGTTCACATAAGAGAAAATACAATTAGCCAATTAATACATGTGTAACTTCAGTAATCATCAGGGAAATAAAAACCAATACAACAGTGAGATATCATTTTTCACCAGATTACAAAAGATAAGCACAGCTTTGGGGAGAGTGACATGAAATACTACTAGTTTTGGGAGGTGATATACTACAACCTTTTGGGAAAGTAATTTCATAGTACCTATTAAAATTTAAAATGTACATATCCCTTTATCAAACATTCCCACTCTTAAAAACCTAGTCAATTGCGACAAAAATTCCAATATGCAAGAAATACGAACAAGCATAATTATTGAATGGAACTATCAGCTACTGTAACAAATCAGAAACACTAGGAATGACAATCAAGAAGGAAACTGTGTCATCTTTGATTTCTTTGAGCAATGTTTTATAGTTCGCATTGTAAAGACCTCTCACTTCTCTGTATCTGACAAAGGCATAACATCCAGGATCTACAAGGAACTCCCATGAACCGAAATGAAAGAAAAACAAACAGCCCTATTAAAAAATGGGTAAAGGACATGAATAGACACTTCTCAAAAGAAGACATATGAGTAGCCTCAGATATATGAAAAAATGCTCAACCTCACTAATCATCAGAGAAATGTAAATCAAAACCACACTGAGATATCACCTAACTCCAGTAAGGATGGCCACCATTAATAAATAAAAAAACAACAGATGTTGGCATGGGTGCAGAGAAAAGGAGTCGCTTCTACACTGTTGGTAGGAGTGCAAAGTAGTCCAACTCCTATGGAAAATAGTGTGGTGATTACTAAAGGAACTAGTAATAGACCTTCCACATAATTCAGCAACCTCCTTTCTGGAAATATAACTATTTCCAGAGGAACATAAAGTATTCTACAAAAAAGACAAGTGCATACACATGTTTAGTACTGCACTATTCACAATAGCAAAAACATGAAACCAACTCTACTGCCCATCAAAAGTAGACTGGATAAAGAAAATGTAGGCTGGGCACAGTGGCTCAAGCATGTAATCCCAGCACTTTGGGAGGCCAAGGAAAGAGGATTGCCTGAGCTCACGGGTTCAAGACTAGCCTGAGCAACATGGTGAGACCTCGTCTCCACAACAAATCAAAAAATTAGCCAGGCATGGTAGTATATACCTGTAGTTCCAGCTATTTGGAAGGCTGAGTAGAAGGATCACCAGAGTCCAGCAGGTCGACACTGGGGTAGCTGTGAGCATGCCACTAGACTCAAGCCTGGGCAACAGAGTGAGACTCCAACTCAAAAAAAAAAAAAAGAAAAAAGAAAATGTGTGTGTGTGTGATGGAATATTACACAGACATAAAGAAGAACAAAACCATGGACTTCACAGCAAATTGGATGGAGTTGGAGACCATCATTCTAAGTAATATATCACAGAAACAAAGACCCAAATTCCACATATTCTCCCTCATAAGTGGGACCTGAACATTCATCGCAATAGCACAAGAGAGGGATCAGCAGTCACAGGACACTGCCAGGAGTGGGGGAGGAGTGTGTTTTGTAACAGCACAAAGAATATCTGGTCCTAAATCAGGAGAAGTAAAGACCCAGTTGGAGGCCCAAACTTCACCTGCACATACATTACTTATGTTCCTAGCCCTGACTTGTACCCCATATCTCTATAATAAAATTAAGTTATTTTTAAAAAAAGAAGAAAATCATTAATTAAATGATGGCATCGCCGGGCTCGGTGGCTCAGCCTGTAATCCCGCGCCTTTGGGAGGCTAAGGTGAGTGGATTGCCTGAGCCCACGGGTTCGAGACCCGCCTGGGCAGCGAGACCTTATCTCTACAATAAATCAAAAAATCAGCCAGGCATGGTAGCGCATGCCTGTAATTCTGGCTACTTGGAAGGCTGAGGCGGAAAGAACGCCGGAGCCCAGCAGGTCGAGGCTGCAGTGGCCGGAAGCAGCCACTGCACTCCAGTCTGGGCGACAGAGTGAGACTCCAACTCAAAAAAAAAAAAAAATAAAAATAAATGATGGCATCTTCAATGTATGAACTATTATACAGTTACCAAAAAATAAATAATTTTATTTAGGGGACAAAAGCAGATTGCAAAGTTACATATATTTTGTGATTTCATTTTCATAAAAAAAAAAAAAAATATATATATATATATGACAACCCTTTCAGGTCCCCTCCCACTGTGGGAGCTTTTCTGTTCTCTTAATAAACTCTGCTTTCAAAAAAATAAATAAATAAAATAAAATATAGATACAAACATAAACATACAAGTATACAAAACATACAAGTATACAAAACATACAAGTATACAAAGCAAAGGATTCAGCAAACTTAACATTAGTTATTTCAGGAGAGTAAAATGGAAAGATTAGGTAAGGACTACTAACTATATATATACATATATATATATATATATATATATAGATCCCTGCATGGTCCAGGGAAAATATGTACTCAAATTGACACTGACCAATGAAGTTCTGCACAAGTCCAGAAGGGATAGAGTCAAAGGTAAAGGTTGACAGGAATAACCTTAAATGGAAAGATTCACCTCATCCACATTGAGATAAGAATAGGTAGAAATATGGACAAACTTACACATAGGGAGAGGAGGAGAAATGTTGAGTTCATGGAGAAAAGAGTGGAAAGTTAAGAAAGTTCATGCTTGAGTAAACAATGGCTTTCATTTTCTCCATAAAGTAGCAACCATGGAATGCAGGTGCAGGGATATTTACATAATATCCATATATGAGAGGTAGGGATCATAACTATTATTCCTGCTTTATGGCTACATAGTCAGAGACAAAAGAAGTCAAAAGATTTGCCCAGACGTCCAGACAGTACAAGAACAAGAATTCAAGGTTATTGATCCTTATACCAGTGCTTTTTTTACTCAGATTTAAGAGTCAGTGTTAAATGAATAAAACTAACTACATGTATTACATCAAAAGTATATGCCAAAATAACAAAAATGAAACGAAAGACTGAGTCTTTAGCAATCATATTTCAATCCAAAATAAAGAACCACAGATCTCTAGGTATGGATACATAAATCATAAAATTTCCAACAACGAATTTTTTAAAAATCTCTATTTCAAAGTTTGTGCTTTTTAAACAGCTCCAGTCCAGAGAACCATGCTAAAACATCCGAAAACATGCAATAAATCAATTATGTATCCAAGAAAAAAACACCTCAAAGAACACATATGCTTCTAGAAATCTTCTTAGAAAACTTTTTTAGTCATCTTGCTGTGATAGAAAGAGATTAATAGTCGATCTTTAGCGCCCCACCTTATAGTTATTCTTCCTTGCTTTATTTTTTTTACTACTAAAAAATACTTTTCTGATAATATCTGTCGTCACAAATTTGATTCTTATAAAGAATTTAGAGTTCATAAGTTACTATAATTTAATATTCAAATATCTTTCACCTTTTAAACAATTTACAAATGCTAATTCAAGAAGCAAAAATTTTTCTGTTTCTTTTTTCCTACACATGAAATAACTAAACAGAAAACAATGAATAAGGAAAAAAACAAATTTCACTGGTTCATAATATACTAAGTTATAACTAAGTGGTAAGAATTTTATGTGTCCATGTTGATATAACTAAGTGCCTTTGTATTTAATGAGTTTTTTTTAAGGAAAAAATGTTCTAATTACATGTTAATATTATTCATTAACTTATGCACCTTTTTAGAAGTACAGAAAAATGCACATTTGCTATGAATCTATACGTTTTTCCATAAACTAGCTGCAGGGGTAAGTAGGTTAGAAATGAAAGTCAAGTTACTTAACTATAGCTTTCCTGAATTTTATAGCACTATAAATCATGTTCCTTACTTAGTTATTTAAAAGCTACCAGGGTTAAAGTTACTTTAGAAAATAACTGTGTGTAATAAAATTTCCTTTTTTTTTTTTTTTGTATTTAAAAGCAGGTTTATCAACATTTTAAAGTAATGTTGGTTTCTAATATTTTATAAATGTTTAAAAGAAAATCCTTGATAGTAACCAAGACTTCTGACTCTGAGAGACTTATAATGAAGGTTTCCTTAAACCAAAGAAAACCTGGCAGATTATAGGAGAATACAGAATATTTCAATTCTTCTCCAGTTATCACAAAACTTTTACTCTAATATATTTAATGTCTGACATATGCAGACTATTACTGAGCAATGTCTTTAAAAAAATAAATGTTAATCCCAATGTCAAATGCAAAGAGTGCAAATAAAACTAAATAGCTTAAATAACACAAAAGATATTTTTCTTATAAAAGTTTTGGCAAGCCAGGCTCGGTGACTCAGCCTGTAATCCCGCGCCTTTGGGAGGCTGAGGTGAGTGGATTGCCTGAGCCCGCGGGTTCGAGACCCGTCTGGGCAGCGAGACCTCATCTCTACAATAAATCAAAAAATCAGCTGGGCGTGGTGGTGCATGCCTGTAATTCCCGCTACTTGGAAGGCTGAGGTGGAAGGATCGCCGGAGCCCAGCAGGTCGAGGCTGCAGTGGCCGGGAGCGGCCACTGCACTCCAGTCTGGACAACAGAGTGAGACTCCAACTCAAAAAAAAAAAAAAAAAAGTTTTGGCAAAATTTTGTTACATAAATAAGTCTAGAGATTGGCACAGCAAGTTCTGTAATCCCAGAACTTTGGGAGGTGGAGGCAAGAGGATTGTTTGAGTCCAGGAGTTCAAGACCAGTAGTGACACACACCTGTATTACCACCCACTCAGGAAGTTATGCAGAAGGATCACCTGACCCCAGGAGGTCATGCTGGAATCATGCCACTGTACTCTGGTCTGAGTCACAGAGAGAGCCCTCAACTTAAAAACACACACACACACACACACACACACACACACACACACACACACACACGGTATTTGATACTTTGTACATATATATATATACACACATATATATGGTATTTGGATATTTTGCTTCTACATTTACAAATTCCTTTATTTATTTCTATACTTACACCAAGATGTAGAGTTTTGTTTTTTTTTTTTGAGTTGGAGTCTCACTCTGTCACCCAGACTGGAGTGCAGTGGCCGCTTCCGGCCACCGCAGCTTCGACCTACTGAGCTCCAGCAATCCTTCCTCCTCAGCCTTCCGAGTAGCTGGAATTACAGGCATGCGCTACCACGCCCGGCTGATTTTTTGATTTATTGTAGAGATGAGGTCTCGCTGCCCAAGCGAGTCTCGAACCTGCGGGCTCAGAAAATCCACTCACCTCAGCCTCCCAAAGGCGCGGGATTACAGGCTGAGCCACCGAGCCCAGCTAAAATGTAGATTTTTAAGCAATGCACAAATCTACAGTGTTATACCTATATATAATAGAATACATTTTCATAGTAGACTTTAGTTTTATTTGAAAACATTTGAAAAGTATCATGATAAACTTTTTGCTAGCAAAAACTTAGCATGTGTTTTAATTTACTCTTACAAATTTTGCTCACAAATCTAGGCAGATTATATTTACACAATATATCCATCCCTAAAATTTCATATAAGTACTGTAAATCCAATTCAAACATCATTTCATTCAATTTAACAAATGAACAAAGCTGTATGCTATGGCTTTTAACAATTCTCACTACAACCCACAATAATACATATGGTTTTTATGATAATCCAGTACATTATAAAAGAAGTATAACAAAATATTATTCTTAGCACTTGCTATGAACTCTGCCATTTTCTATTCCATTTAACCTTTTAAAGTGTTGCTTGCTACTGTCCATTGAAAGAGGATTGGATTTTTAAAAAGTGGTACATATACACAATGGAATATTACACAGCCATAAAGAACAAAATTATAAACTTTGCAGCAACTTGGATAGACTTAGAGTCTATAATACTGAGTGATCTATCACAGAAACAAAGAACTGAGTACCACATGTTCTCACTCAGAGGCAGACCTTGAACAATTATCATAATACTATAATAAAATAATTGGCAATAGTGGGAAAATGCCAGGGGGAGGGAGCACACCTCATCAACAAGGGTACCAGCATAATGAACATTTATATACCTAACCCTGAATTGTATCCCACATCTTTAAAATAAAAAAATGTTTTTAATAAAATAAAATGTTGCTGCACTAAATTGATTTTATGACCCACTGATGGCTCACAATCTGTACTTTGAAAATTATTGTTATATTCTGTAAGAATGTAAGGATAGAAAGGACAAATAATAGCACTGTTTTAACACCTGTATCTGGCCTGAAATCAGATAAACCTTTAATTTTATTTTAGCTAAATAGTTACACAAACCTTTCATTTTATTTTAGCTAAAGATAGTAGGGTTTATATAATTTATTTAAAATTTTTTAAGTTACACCCCAAAATTTGAGATATATACATACATGTGTTAGTCATGTAACAGCAGTACCAAAAAAAAACATGAAACTAGAATAAGATGAGAAACATTCATTCCAATGGGAAATACTGGAAATAACTATTTTAAGATGTAGAATTTGAGCACAATTTTAAAGTATTAGCTGGATGAACAAGAGCAGGGGAAGAGGAATGGCACTGGTATTAAAGGTATTGTGGACACAAAATAAAGACAAAATATAGACAAGTAGCGTATATTCAAAAATGATGGGTATTCCAGTCAGGCTGAAATGTAGGGTTTATGTGGTGAGCATAATATTTTAGTCTTTTTTTTTTAACCAAATACTGTATTTAACACTATTGACCATTTCTTTCACCAACTCTCCTTTCTTTAGTTTCCATAGTATGGAATCTTGATTCTCTTTCTTGCTCTGATATTTTCCACTAGTTTTCTTCTTGGGTTCCTCTACCTCTGTCTTCTCTAGGCACATTCGTTTTCACATTTTCCAAGCACTACTCAGTTATTCTCGTTTACTCCTTGTATTATTCATTGTAATCTACAAATTGAATTGGCCAACTTTTTCTGTAAAGGGCCAGATAGTAAATACTTTAAGCTTGGCAGGCCAACAGGCAAAATCAAGAACATTATATAAGTACTTATATAATAAGAGAAAAACAAATTTCTACATAATTCTCTGGTTTTACAATCAACTACTGATGTGGCTACCAATGTCCAACTTTGAGCAATTGTTCCCACCAAAAGTCTAAAACATAGTCTTAAGACAAATTTCTCTCTCCAGGGCACATTTCTTTGGTTGTTACAATCAAATATGATTTAAGTAAGTCAACAATGGAAAATGGCTTTCCTTGCTTGGCTACCTAATGAGCTATTCAGAAACTTACTATAGATGCAGATGCATTTTCATTTTTATGAAGAAATTCTGTGTGATAAGATATTGTGTTTTTAATTTTCTAAGTATTCTGATAGCTGCTTTCCCATGAGTTGGAAATGTTAGTCTGGAAGTGTTAGTCTGGCAATGTAGAATACTACAAATAAAATATACTAGGAAAATCATGAAAAGAAAAAGTCCTGAACATATTCTAGAGTATTTAACTAATAGGAATTAAATCTGCTTGGATTTAGTTCTGGCTTACTCACTAGCTCATTCATTCATTCATTCATTCATTTTTTTGAAACAGGATCTTACTCTAACCCAGGCTAGAGTGCAGTGGCACAATCACAACTCACTGCAGCCTCCATCTCCTGGGTTCAGACGATTCTTCCACCTCAGCCTCCCCAGTAATTGGGACTACAGGTGCATGCCACCACACGCAGCTAATTTTTTTTAAAAATTTTTATAGCGAAGAGGTGTCACTGTGTTATCCAGGCTGATCTCAGAACCCTTGGGCTCAACTGATTCTCACACCTCAGCATCCCAAAGTGCTGGGTTTTTATAGGCATGAGTCACTGTATCCACCTGAGTCGCTTATTTAAAAACATAAAAAATTCCAATGAAAAGGTATCAAATTACCTTGTGAGGGGGGAATAAAAAAAACATGTCAAGTGAACAACATATACTCTGTAAAATATAGTGATTTTCTATATAAAACCCACATTTAAACAATTCTTAAATGAAAATACTGCTAGTTCTTTCAACAAAATTAATAAGAATACAGTAAAATAATTCTTACTAAGTTGTTGTCATCCTGGAAAGCATAGTGCAAAGTTGTAATCCATTTATTGTCTCCATTCACTAATACATCCCTTTCTTCACGAAAACATGCTGTCTGAAAAGGAAAAAGAAAATTTTTAGAGAATACTTTATGTAAAACTAGAATATATGTTATGCAAACAATTGCTTGATATGTTTGTGATATTTCTATTCTAAAAGAGAAATACATCCAGTATTATATGACTTTTCACAACACAAGCTTCAAAGCATTCTCAGAAACTGGGCAACTGAATAGTACATTTAAAAAAAATATTTTACAAGGGAGGACCCAAAAAGAACTGGAATTTATTTAGAAAAAATTATGTACTTTTTCTTACATGTTTAAACTTCAGTCACCTTCAAAGTACTTCTGCTCGATGCAATACATCTATAGAGATGCTTTCCTACTGTTCAAAACAGTTTTTGAACTTTGTTGATTTTGATGCCTTTTAGTGTTTCTGCCATTTTTTTGTTTGTTTCACCTCTTCCACATCAGCAAAACGTTTCCCTTTGATTGCTTTTTTCATCCAGGGAAATAAAAAAAAAGTCACTCGGATGAGATCAGATGAAACGGGAGGGTGGGACACAAGGGTCTTGCTGTTTTGTGGTCAAAAACTGCTGAACACAGCGTGGTGTGGGCAAGTATGCTTGTAATTCACCAACATGAAATGAGCAAACACATTGAAAGAAGTCCCCCCCCCCCCCAAAAAAAAACTCAGTGAAGTAGAATGCAGCCTCTTACAACAATGCTAGTTGGTAGATTGAGACTGATCGTTTCCTAGAACACTTACTAGGCAGGGAAAGCCTATACTACTAGGGGCCCACCCTCCAAAAGACAACTCCAGGTTTTTTTTGGATCACCCTCATATATTAAAAAAAAGTACTGTTATATTCCTTGTTAGTATAGTGGTGAGTTTAAAAAAATAAAATACTGTTATGGTTCAAGACAATTAGAAAAATACACAGAATTTAGCTAACAACCATGGACCAATCCATTATCCAGATAATATAAATGTCTACATTTTGCTGTATTTACTTCTGACCTTTTTTTTAAAGAAATAAGATACCACTGTAGCATTCTTATTTCTATCCCATTCTCCCCTAATGTAATCAATAATCTGAAGTCAGTGTATAGGCTAGCAATCATATGTTTTGATCACACACATATATGTCCAAAAACAAGAGAATTCTGTTTTGAAAATGTACATGAACAGTATTTTTGCAACTTGGTTACTTTTTACTCAATGACTATTTTCTTTTTAACTGCTAAAGCATTCCATTGTTTGAATGCACCGCAATGTATTTATAAAAACCCCTAATCATGGAAACATAGGTTATTTCCAATTTTGTATTACTACAATGTTGAATACATATATCTGTACAAATGTGAGTTTCTCTACTGCACACACTTAGAAGCAGAAATGCTAGATATAAGCAAATTTCAACTTTATCAGAGATAATCAATTTGCTTCCCTAAGTTTTATACCAATTACCACCCCTACCCCAGTATGTGAAAGTTCTGCTTTTCCCCACATCCTTAACTGTATATGGCATTATTAGACTTTTAAGTGCTTGTCAATGTAATGAGTGTAAAATAGTATCTCATTATTCTTTTAACTAACATATTCTTAATTACAGGTACAGATGAGTAGCTTTATATATGTTTTTCAGATACCTGAATTTTATCTATGAATTGCTCATTTCCTATGACCATTTTCTCATGAACTGTTTTTTCATATTGATTACTTAAAGTTTTAATTTATTCTGAGAATACATTTCCACAATTATAAAATTGTCTAAAGTTTTAATTTATTCTGAGAATATATTTCCACAATTATAAAAGTACATCCTGGAGAACTTCAGAAATATATAATTAAAATTTTTTAAAATTATAAACTACATTATAATTCTATAATGTTATTTTTATATTTTTAATTTAAAACAAAACAAAAATAACAACACTATGCCAAAGACTTCAAAAAGAACTGAAAAATAAAGTAGAAAGCAAAAGTCTCCCTGAGACTTACTCCTATAGTTTTACTGGCCAATTGTTTTGTCCAGAGGTTACCATCACTAACTGTTCAGTATCCTCTCAAAAAATGTCTCTGTATATAAAAACATACACACATACATACTATATCTAGTCACGCAGTATGTCACCTCCCTTTTTTTTCTTTACACGAATGAAAGTATAGGGCTCTATAAGTTGACTTTTTTCAAGTAGCAATATATTTGAACATCTTTCCATATCAGCACATAGAAATTTACCTAATTTTTTCATAACAGCTACACTATATTCCATACACATTGAAAATATAACACAGTATTCTATATATAGAGGGTGCTTAATTATTATTTCCAATAAAGTAAATTAAATAACCATGATCCACAAAACAATCAACACTGTTATGCAATTAACCGTAACATTTTCCATGTATGTATAACCACAAGCATTATTTGACCAAATAGAATTTCCAAAGTCATGCATTAAATAGTAACATATTCAACATTAAAATAAATAAAACTTACATTAAATAGGCAGTTTTCCTTTGATTTGATTATTAAAATCTACAACATATGCTTTGGTTCTTAAGGAGAAAATAAAATCACTTGACATAGTTACTACTAAATCCTATTTCATAATTTAACTGACCTGCAGTTAGGGTTACTGCTAATATTTTACAGAGGTTGTGAAGGCTGTCAAGAGTCTAGGAGACTACTTTCCCCTGGCTTCATACTACTATGACAGCTATCTAAAAATTTAAAGACACTCTAGCTAGAATATAATAAACATTATTTCATTTCATTCATAACTTCAAACTAAATAAAACTCCAAAGACTTTAGTCAACAGGACATAGTAAACATTGAGTTCTAATCTATGATAAAAACTGTTTAGCAAAAAATAAATAATGTAATAAAAAATATAAGGCAGTTCGATGCTGGGGTGGGGGTGAGTGTGTCACTGCACTCCAGCCTAGGCAACAGAGTAAGACTCTGACTCAAAAAAATTAAATTAAATTAAAATATATATATATATATAAACTATGTATAATATAAAATTTCAAATAAATATAAGAGTAGAGAGACTAGTATAACAATGCCCTCCTCACAATGTACCCACCACTCAACTCCAACAACTATTTTATTGTTCAACTCTCTCTCACTTACTACCTCCCATTAGGTACACACACACACATACATTTTAAAGCAAATCCCAGACACATGATTTTTATCCATAATATTTAGCTATTAAACTACTATGCCTCAAATACTGAGTCTAGATATAAAGCACAGACTGTGGTTTTCTTGCTTCAAAATGCCACAATGTCCTCAACTGCTTGCCACAATTGAGAAAGGAAGGGTTCTACTAGCATTTAGTGCCTAGAGGCCAAGAATGCTGCTCAGCAACCTACAATGCATATAGGACAGCCCCTACAACCAAAAATTACCTGGTCCCAAATGTCAAGACTGACGCTGTTGAGAAGCCCAGCCTAGATCAAGATTAAACAAACCATGATGCAAATACCAGAATTTACTTATAGCAAATTGTGTATTTATTCTTTACATGTTTAAACTTGTCAACTTCAAGTACTCTTCATTTGATGCAATACACCTATTGAGAGGCTTTTTCACTGCTCAAAACAATTTTTGAACCATCATTTTTTATGCCTTTTTAGTGCTTCTGCTGTTTTTTGTTTTGCCTCTTCCACAATGGCAAAACGTTTCCCTTTGAGGACTTTCTTCACGGGGGGGCGGGGGGGGCGGGGGAAGAAGTCACTTGGGCAAGATCAAGTGAATAGACAGAGTAGGACATAGGGGCCATGACAATTTTGGTCAAAAACTGTTGACCACTCAGCATGGTGTGGGCAGGTGTGCTTGTAAATCACCCATCACTAAATAAGCAAATGCACTGAAGCAAGCTCCAAAAAAAAAATACACTGAAGCCAAATGCAGCCTCTCACAAAAACGCTAGCTGGCACACTGATGTTGATGGGTTCCATGTTAGAATATTTACCTAGCAGGGGAAGCCTGCACTACAAGGGGCCTACCCTCCAAAAGATAATTCCGGGTTTTTTGGATCTCCCTCATATACCCTGGGGGTTCATAAAGTTGTTCTGGGGTTCAACATAGCTTAAGGCTAATAACATCTACCTGAATTAATTGTTTTAAGAAAACTAAACAAGATTTCTCCACTTTAAAAACAACATTAACAAAGTACCACCAGCTTGGAAGAAAAAACAGTGATGATTATATCCACTTTGGCTTCTTATTTACTGAGAATAAAGACCTCTCTCACATCCATAAGTTATGATCACACAGAAATTCTTTCAAGTAATAACCGAATATTTCTTTAGTCTAATATTTAAGGGGAGAGGACACAAAATTTTTTATTTTTAAAAAATAAACAAGTAAAATTTTAAATAGCAAAATGCAAGAATTCCAAATTTTTAGATCTTATATAGCATGGCATCAATTTTACTTTGAAGTCTCCATTTTAATATATGGTTGATGGGCCAACATGGGATATATCATTTTTAATATAGTTGTCAATAAAAATATTTTAAATATACTTTTAAAAAGAGAAATCACTTGATAACATCCACAATTGGCACGTATACAAGAAAATAAACACATTTACATACTATGAGAGCAAAGATACAGTGGTCCAACTTTTAAATGTAAGATAATTTTAGCTGGGCACAGTGGCTCACACCTGTAATCCCAGCACTTTGGGAGGTGGAGGTGAGAGGATTGTCTGAGCCTAGGGGTTTGAGACCAGCCTGGGCAACTTGGCAAGACCTCGTCTCTACAGTAAATTTTTAAAAATATAGCCAGGTGTGGTGGCGCCCTCCTGTGGTTCCAGCTACTTAGAAGGCTGAGGTAGAAGGACCGCTTGAGTCTAGCAGGTCGAGTCTGCGGCAGCCATGAGAGTGAGTGATTGCACTCCAGCCTGGGCAGCAGAGTGAGACTCTGACTCAAAAAAAAAAGATAATTTTCCTGAAGCAATAGCTATCAAAGTTTAAAAGTATCCTCCCACTCTCCAACCCTTGAGTTCCACTAGAAAACAGTTCAAT